CAAAAACATAACAAACAACATTCTCGCGAGTCGCGACACTAACTCGCGAGTCGCGAGAAGTCCTAGGCAGCTCTTCAGTCCGTTTTTTTTTTCGGTCATTCCTTCAGTATTCTGAGAACGTTAATGGGTCTTCTTGATATACCGGTCTCAGCTCAAGTAGTCCCGTCCTCGATCAGCACAACCTACCTTCTGAAAACACAAACACGAAGAAAACACAACAAAAAGACGCACAAAACGAAATGAAGAGAAAAAATGGAAAAATCACAGAATTGGACCAAATAAACTACGAAAATCCTATAAGTGGGGAAAAATAAAGAGAAAATAAACCCAAAATAAAGACACAAAAATGGGACAAACAGAGGTCGCTCTCATGCTATTATTTTTTTACATTCGTCCGTTTAGTTCATGGTCCGTACGTGCTTCATGTTGATCCCGTTGGATTTTTCGATCCGAGCTCGAAGGACTCACATTATATTCATTCTCTCTCCTTACCGGATGATCACTATTAGACACAAGGTGATGGCCATACCGTGTAGAGTACGCGCTTTCTTTTCTTTTCTTGTTTTTCCCTTTCTCTTTCTTTTTAAATGATTGCGTGTTTCTTTTCTTTTTCTCGTTTGTATAGTTCGTTTTGTTTTTATTTTTATTCTCGCATGAAGCTTATGTGATTACGTGCTCTTTCCTATGCTTTTGTTGGTCAAGCAATGAGGGCATTGCTTTGTTTTAAGTGTGGGGGAGGGGTTTGCATGATTATGCATGCTTTAGGCGTATTTTCTTTTCGTTTAGTTGTGTCGTGGACCGGTTTTGTTTGTTTTTGTGTGTTTTGTGTCGATTTACTCATATGAGAATTGATGTGAGTCCAATTGCTCGGAATGACTAAGTGGCTAGATTGGATTGTCGTTTGTGTTCATTATTAACTCTCATGATTTATGTGCTCAATGATTTTGACGGTTTTTATAAAATGAAATGATTATTTGGTGGCATTGGAACTCGCATGTGAATTCACGAGACTTTCTTGTCCTTTTTTCGTTCTTGATTGAGGATCTTGGTCATGCTTGCCTTATGTTCAATTGTTGATTAAACGTGTTATGCTATACACTTTGTGTACGTCGTGATTGAGTTGTGATGATTATGATTGTATTTGTGATGTACCTTTGTGTGCCAACCCCTAAAAAAAAAGAGAATAAAAAGTGAGTTTGCGAGGAAGTATGGATTAGGCTCCTCTTATTCCGAGCCACTTAGTTGATTGGGATAATGAGCCCTGCAAACCGGTCTAGGAAACTCGAGGAAATCCCTCGAGGTTAAACCTAGGGAATCTCATCCAGAAACCTCGTTTGGAAAGAGAAGGTCACAAAATGTGTTCATGGGAGTCGAAAGGATTAGGCTCCTCCTGGCTCGGTTAATCTTCTGGATAGATCGGGTCAATGAGCACGGGAAACTGGCCTAGGCGACTTAGGAATAACCCCCGAGGTTAAACCTAGGTAATAATCGTCCTAACGGCTTCCATTTGGAAAAAGTGACTCATTAAAAAAAATGGAAAAATGAAAAAAAAATGGGGGTTGGCTTATGGTCTCGATTTTACTATCCTATACATTGAGTAGACCGTTTTGAGCTTTTTGCACGTGTTTATTGTAGAACGAAGTTTGCATTGAGTAAATCATGATTGAATAACTTGGGACTTGTTTTTGTTTTGTTGGATTCACATGTGGGAACCGTGCTCTCGAGTTTGAGTTTTACTTTGTAAATAACCAAGTGATTAGGTGAGTACATAATGCATGTTTGTTGATCTTGGACTGCTCGATCTCTCCATTCAACACTACTTGTTGTTTTGTTTGTTTGAGGACAAGCAAAGGTTTAAGTGTAGGGGAGTTGTTTGTTGTGTTTTTGTCCTTATTTTCTTGTGTTTTATGTGTTTTGTTTTGTGGTTCTTAGGTCCGTTTTTAGGATCGACCGGTCCATTTTGTCGTGTTTTGTACATTCTTTCTCTTGTATAGCTTGTTCGTATTTTTGCGCATTTTCTCTTTGTTTTTGGTGTGATTAGGTCCATTTCATCGCGCACGAGGAGACGAGCCGACCAAGCCGTCCAATCTGTAAATTCCGACCA